TGCTATGCTTTGATTCTACTCTAATTCCAACAAATTTAAAAGTCTGAATCTAAATCTGTCTATACCTATGTATACACTGTGTAGTCATGACCAAGGGTAAGAAAAGGGGCCCCAGGTTAAGTAAAGACTTGATGGGACTAGCAGTTATCCAATATTTCGTAGGATATTAACTGTTCCTTGATCTGCAAATGTATAGCTATGAGATTAGTTCCCCCTTCTTGTACCCCTATTCAACCTGCCCATTCAACAGCAGACACGCACATGATCACTCCAAGAGCCGCTGTCCAAAATTGCTTCACAGAGAAAGAACGTGGCTGGGATTGCTGGAAAAAGAAGGAGCTGCTATATAGGTTGTTTGTATAGCTAAGCCAGACTCAAGAGGGTAAATGAGGAGGCTGGATGACTTGCCATCTATGGCCATTGTATCAATATTTATAGCTTCTCTGTCATTAGGATGGTGATGGCAACCTGCCTAGAAAAATACATTGTAAAATCCAGTGAATTTCCTCCCCTATATCTTGGAAGTTTGGGGAGAACTGTAATGGATTCCAAACTGTTTTGAATTAACAAAAAGAGCTTTTTCCTGTTGCAGAGTTCCAGCTGGAACCCTCCTATGCTTTTTCTTCACCAAACAGCAAACACTCAAAGGGGCAAAGTGTCCAATGGAGTGACCCGGAGCTTGTCAGCTTTGCTGAGCTTTCCACTTGGCTTTGGTTGCTGGGTAGGTTTTGGGAGTTTGCTGGTGTGGCTGGCATGATGCTGTGGCGCCAGTTGCAAACATGCCTTTGCTGGAGGCAGTTTTATTACTCTTGACGGCACCCATCCAGTGGGATCAAGACTAGAGGGATCAAGGGAAGATATTACTCATGACGAATACCAAGGAATAAGGTATAGAGTACGGGGTCCATCCATACTTTAGAGAGTACCATGAAGGGAGTGCAGGTTGCAGCCCCCAATACAAATGTCAGGGAGTTGACCATGATCTAGTAGCCAGGTGGCAGAGGGCAGGGTGTGTGGCAGACAGGGCCCTGGGAGGTGACAGGACACCTGGGTTTCAGTCCTAGTCCCACTGCTCACTAGTTGTTTGATCTTAGACAAACTGCTTAAGTCTATGACCCTCACTTTTCTTTTTATGAGATGAGAATAAAAATACAGGAGCATTGTCAGAATCTAATGAAAGAATGCCTATGAAATGCTCTTAAAATGGACACAGTGCTTCTTTCCTTTGTCTGGTTCTAGAGTGTTGGTTCTTTTTAGTCTCATTCTTGTCTCAAGCTCAGAAGAGAAAGAGAGAGAGAGGAGAAACACTTGAGAAGAACTGGGTCATCTTTCTTAGCAACCTTGGTTTGAGAGCTGAGTAAACAGTAGACATGCTAAGCATCAGGCCAATCTAAGTACCAGATCTCATAGTATCAGCAGTTTCTAGGGTTGCAGTTGAGTGACAATGATCTTACTATAGCAACTTCAGTTTCCTCAGCAAATACCTGTTGAGTCAAGTCAGATACTTTCATCCAAAAACTCCTCTGAGTCCCTCCTTTAAACTCCTGAATTCCTTACCACCTGACTCTTACATCATGCCCATCTTCCCATTCTTCCTTCAGTCTAGGATCAGTGCCCTCACCAGAATGAAGCTCTTCTGTGATTGTAAGGCTAGCTCAGAATGAGGTCAATAGATCTCTGTCAAAAGTACTTTTGTCACGAAATCACTAAAGTTATCTATAGACTTTAGAATAGACTGCAGAGGAGAAAATAATCACTCTTGTTAAGATCAGATAGGATCAGAAATTTGTTGAGTGCATCAAAACCTCTTGCTTACATGAATGTTTTCCTTTTTTGGAATATTTGATAGGAAAAAAAAAACCTCATTGAGAAATTATATGTTATACTCTAATCAACCACAATCTGGGATATTGATCTCACCATTTATAGATGACTGGGATTCTGATCTTACTGGAATCCAGTCTTTGGGCTGGGAAGGGCTTGAGCAGTTCTTTCTCTGACTGGTACCCAATCAGCTTCTCTGAGTAAAGAGGATCAAATTCCTCTGTGTTGAACAAACATGGGTTCCAGTTTATTCATATCTATTCTTATCTATTGCCTATAAGTAGACTTCATTTACAAAAGCAAACTTTGATTAGGGAAGGATTTGCCTTTTGTGATATGAGAACTAGTCAATGGTAAATTCTATTTATTTTTTAAAGAGGTCTAAAATTATTCGCAGGGTTTTCTTCTCATGATAACCACAGATACAAGATTTTAATAATCGATGGCTGGTTGCTACTTTCAGATTTCTTTCCCTGTTGTGAGGATACAATGAGATCTGGAAATTGGTCACTGTGAAGACAGTCTGTGTAAGGCTAAAAGAACTCATTTATATAGCATCTACATTTAAAATGGCACCCTTTTTAATTTTCATAATTGAAAGCCAAAGCTTGCAATATCTATTGAATTGAATCACACTATTTACAAAACTATTTTTAGCCAGTTAATGAAAATTTTAAAGGCCTAACAAATCACTGATTTTTAAATAATCTAGCTTGAGAACTATGGACAGTAATGGCATTTTTCTAGATGAAACCACAATGTTATCTCACATGCCCATAAAATGACATTTCTCAGGCTCAAAAAGTCCAGAATTATGATTGTTTCTTGTCTTGACCTTTCCGGTTAGCAAGTAAGCATCTTTGAATGGCTTATTTAAAATGCCTCCCTTAGTATCTGTGGGCATGTAAATTGGTACAAACTTTATGGAAAATAATCTGGCAATGATGCAATGAAAGACTTAAAAATATTCATAGCCATATACCCAGAAATTCCACTTTGGTCATTTGGAATAAGAAAATAATCTGAAATTTGAATAGAAATTTACATATAAGAATGTCTACTATGGCAAAATTTGGAACACATTTTCCATAATTTTCTATATTCTTTTCTATAGGTTTTTATGATAAATTATAAGCAACCTAAACATAAATAGGGAGATAATTTAGTAGTAATGGTCTTTTATAAAGTTGTATATTTTATAGTTATTAACAATGGTAGCATAAATATATGCTAGCACATGCATAGAAACTTTTTGGTAGAAGAAATATGACTTTGCTAATCCAATTTTATTCTGAGGACAGAGACCTTTACTTTTCACTTCCATCTTTCTGTAATCTTTGAATTATAAAATGACTAAGTATTACTTTTGTTTTAAAAAATTAAAAAATTACAAAGAATATGTAATGACATGGAAAAATGATCAAGTGGAAAAAGGAATACAAACATGGTATATATAGTATGCTTAAGAAAAAAATCTTAGAAACATATCAAATATTAATAATTCTATTTCTATTTTTTATTAAAAATAAAATATGCCTTAAAGTATTAGCCAATTAAACAATATTAATTTGTTTCCTAATCTGGTTTTTCAAAAGTTAATCTTTTTTCCCCAGTGAACCTCAAATAATCCGGAACCTCATTCTTGTTTGCTGAATTAATCACAGATCAGAGAGGATCAAGGGTTAATTTGTTTAAGAAGTAGATTCAGTCAAGATATTAAGACATGTCGGATAGTATATTTTTGTTATATTAAACATAACACCAAAAAAAATCATTTTAAAATGAGTTACAACTTGACACTGGACTTGAGGTTCCAGAGTTAACCTATGCCATATTGTTATCTACTTGCACCCTAGTCATGTAAAGGGCAGCATCAGTAAAGATGCTGGAGCCAGACTGCCTGTGTTTATAATCCTGGCTCCATCTTTTGCAGCCAGGTTACCCTGGGCAAGTGATTGAACCTTTCAATGGTTTGGTTTCTCCTTGTTTGCAAAATGGTACTTCCTTCATTGGGTTGTGAGAAATAAACGAATGTGTATGAAGTGAACATTGCCTGGCACACAGTAAGTATTTAATAAGTGTTTGCTATTATTATTAGTATTACTAATACACTATGTACCTGATTTCAGAAGCATTCCTCTCTCCAGTAATTGGACAACAAAGGACTACAGAGTGGATCACTGTGCTCTTTATAACATCCCATATAGTTACAGACAGCTTACATCTAAAAGACCACTATACTATACTATGCCTCCACACATCAGTTTTCACAAACAGAGATATTCTATAAGGACACAGAAAAAGCTCACCCAAAGTGCATATCAGTTATGAATATTCGTCATTCAAAACAATTTTTATAGAGCGACATGACAGTAAAACTTTCTTCTACTCAAGTTGGAAACATGTGAGAGGCCAATGAAAGTAGCATTTAGTATAAAACCTGGCTTTCATAGTTGGTTAGTTAGGTCATGTACTTGCAAGGCCAAAAATACAATGAACTGCTAAATAACTCAATTTATTTCTCTGCTGTGTGTTCTCTAGTTCAGAGTGCATTCTTAATCACAGCCAACCATCTCACAAAGGTACTTTAAGGGAAGCCATCAGAGGAAGCTACATGAGAGAGTAGGTAGAGGTGAGTAGATATGTATTCCTTGATTCCTGATGTTGGAGAAGCAATTTAAAGAAATATCTTACTGATGGTGTGGTGGGAGTACAATTTGACCAGAAACACTTAGTAGTGTTTTCTATATCCCAAGTGAACAATATCTTAAGCAAAGTTATATATGTCATTACTTAAATGAAATGAATATTAGATTGGCCTCTGGAAAGGAGAGGAAAAAGACAAGGAAAAAGAAAATGAGGAGAAAGAAAAAGGAGAAGAGGGCATTTGTCTTCCATGTTTGATTTGATTGGAAAAAATACTGTGAGGGATAACAGAAAAGAGCCTGGGTTACCCACAGCTTTCAAACAACAAATATATGGTATTTTTTCTTGGTATTTTACACATGTAGAGACACTCTCATAGCATTATACCACTGGCATTTTCTGTATGGAAAGTATAGTAAGTATAAGGAGAAAAGGAACACAGACCAACACTAAGGAAAGTAAAAAATGTTTCAGCCACTTCACCACCATCCCACTCTGTTTCATGAAAGATAAAAAAAGATGTATCTTACCTCCGCTGAGAATAATGACGGCTATAAATATTGCCAAGTCACTGTCATCTAATTCCAGTGCATTGAACTTCACAGCAAACTCAAACTTGGGTTCCATAAAGTCACCAAAGGGCTTTCTCAGGCTCTTTAGAAACTCCCTTGTCATGAATCCTTGGCCCTCTGATATGAGAACCCCATCCTTATTCATCAAGGAGGCCAGCATTGTGTAAATGATCTCATGGACGCCATATTTTAGGAGAGTTACTTGGTCATTCAAGTCAAGGTTTACAAAACCAGGAATACTTTTGGCATATTCTGTGATCTCTTGCACAGCTTCCACTGAACGAAATTGACACCCCTGAAAAATGCGGATGGCCACCTCTTTGCTCTGCTCCTGCAAGGGGGTGATGTGTTTGAACTTGATTTTATCTTCTCCCATCATTAAGGAATTCATGTCATAGATAACAAATGGCTGCAAATAAAGAAGAGAAAAAGTGGCTGAGTTGGAGTTTTCTAGTTCACTGTGAACACCATCCCAGTTTCTTTATGCACATTTATTTTAATAACTAACATCTTTAAAGTCAACATTTAATAATGACAAAATACTCTTAACTTCTGATTATTTCTTCTAATTGTCTTCTGGGACCAAACATATTTTACCAATTTTGGTCTTCTTTTCCTTCAATTTGTACTGCAACACTTTACCTATGACTGGCTAATAGTTCTAATTTCTGTTGTTTGGAGAGTGTTTGTTGTTGATTTTAAAAAATGATATGAAACCTATTATTTATCTTGGCTTTCAATGGAATATGTTTTTAGCTTTCTTTCAATAAAAATGATTTCAGCAACTCGGTTGAGCAGACACACTTGAACATAAAGTAATCTTGCAGCTTTAGATTAAATCTACTGAGATCGTAAATGAAACACAGTGTGCATGTAAAATATACTTAACTATAAAAGAATCAGTCTGAAAGCAGATTAGAAATATTGAGCCAAGAAAATGTCTATTTCTTTTTTAATGCTCTGGAAGCAATCTGTTTCAGAAAGAGCAGATGTATAAGGCCGTGGGTAAGTGCTGCAAAAAGTGGCAAAATAAAAGCAGAGTTTTGAACTTATTTTTCAAAATATCTGTCTTTAAGGGTCAAATAATCAATAAAACATGTGCATCAGTTACTCAGGTTTGCAACAGGCTGCTTTCAAAAGCAAGTTGTATTAGTCATGAAATGATCTCTCTCATTTTCTTGCATAGAACTAACCAAAGGTTTGTGGTCATTGTGAAAACCCTTGAGGCTACTTTGGTTGAGAAGGGGCAGCACTTTATCTACATTGGGTATACTGGATTACATAAGGAATTTTAACCCCCAATCCTCTTCAAATAAGTGTATACCAGGAAGCTCTGGAATAAGAGTTGAACGTACTTGGGTTCTAGCTTTTGTTCTGTGGTTAACTGTGTGACTTTAGGAAAGTTATTTATCTTTCCTAGGCCTCAAATTTCTCAGTTGAGGGGAGTGGATTAAATTGGAGGTTTCCATCTCTTCTCTTGATATTTTAGTTGCATTTCTCAGAAACCGTATGGTGCATGCGTGTGTATGTGTGTTTGTGAGAGTGCATGTATGCATGCGTGTACACTGAACATGAAGTCTCTGATGTACTATAAATCAAATTTCTTTTCAGCAGAGACGCTGAGAATTCTCTCCTGATTGGCAAGAGGAAGTGGGTACAATGAGTGGCAGCCGTAACCAGCCTCAAGACCCACTGGTTTCACCGAACTGTTCACAAACTGTTAAGTCTGTTCTACACTGAAGAAAATAACACTAACACTAAGGACTCTTAGATGTTGGGTAGATTTCTAAACTTGCATATTATTTGAACAGACACACTTACACATAAAGTAATCTTGCAGTTTTAGATTAAATCTAAACCATTTAACACCATTCATTGGCATTGTTCCAGAAATGCTTTTTTTTTTTAAACCAAAAAAAATTCACTTCAATTATATTGTTTAGCAAACCACATAGGAGGACAGATGTGAGGACCCAAGAGTAAGTTTGCCTGGTGGCTCTAATTCTTCAGGTAAATCAGGAGCAAATCGTGGTTATGATGTTTTTGGACATTTTGCTCTCCCCCCACCCCCTCACTTCAGGATTGATATTTTTAATGGGAGACTAAAGAAAACGGCAGAGTGGACAGAATGTCACATCAGTTATAATGTGCTATTTCCCCAGAATGTCAGATTCCAGTCATGAGAAAAACTTACTTTGATACAACCTAGAAAATGAGAAAATGTGGTTTCTGTCCTCTAGGAGTTTTGCAGGTTATTATAATTTATGTTAATAAAATCCTAGCTTTCTTTTGCCATGAGAATCTGAGGATATGGATACCTGAAAAGTCTACCTGCACATGCATGAGTACAAATTACACAGATATAAAATCATCACCTCTTCACATATGGAAAGACTGGACCTAGAACTACCTACTTCAACTTCTGGATGAGCTTCTGCTCAACCATTTGGTTTCTTGGCACAGAATGTATGCATGAAATTCTTCCACCTCCATGTAAGCAATTTATCTGGAACTATGCCCTAATAAATCACCCTGTGACTCTGCCCCTTGACTTCCCCTGTCCCCTCATATAAAACTCCAGGTTCCTGTTTTTGAAACTCTGTGATAGTTGAGCATAGGGCACAAAATCCTGCTAATTTTCTCTCCCAATTTAACAACAATGTGACTTGAACCCCTTGGCAATCCATGTTGGTCAGGATTTCCTGGCAGTAAATGCTCAAGGACAGAGAAAGGAATCAGCAGCCCCCACCATTATGCCAAACTATTCCAGTTTTTTTGTTTGTGTTTTTTTTTTAATCCCTTCAGCATTTTGAAAAAAGTGGTGAGCTGGCAGAAAAGTCTGGGTATTAACATGCAAATGAATACCAGGTGGATTTTTTGTTTTTCCCAGTCCTATATGATTATGTTTTCATTGCATTTTTGAAGTCTGCATAGATTCTTTCAGCCTCTGTGTGGATCTGTCAAACTGCAAGAGTGATTGCCAGGTAGGATCTGCTTGGAGATCGATCGGCCTTTCTTTGCCACCAACTCACCAGTTCCTAGATTACAAACAGTTAACTCACACATTTCACATCGAGACTTCCTTATCCAGTAAAAAACATTGAAGAGACCTAACCTCTTTAAGTACGGGTAGCATTAGGTCTGTGGAATTTATCTTGAATCATTAATTTAATATTACACTTCTGGTAAAATATTCCACGTTTCTGTATTTTTTACAAAGCAAAGGGAAGCTTTATACATTCTATTAGCTTGCACATCACCATCGGATGATCTGCCATTATAAGAGGAACCATATCATTTTCAAATTTCGTCTTAATGATTTCACACTTCTAGTGTGGGGCTAACTATCTTCAGACGCTCTATCAAATGGCTAGATTAGCATCACTCCTTAACACAGAGGTTCTCAATCTGTGGGTCGCAACCCCTTTGGGGGTTGAACGACCCTTTTACAGGGGTCGCCTAAGACCATCGGAAAACAAAAAGATATTTACATTACGATTCGTAACAGTAGCAAAATTACAGTTATAGAGTAGCAACGAAAATAATTTTATGTTTGGGGGGTCACCACATCATGAGGAACTGTTTTAAGGGGTCGCGGCATTAGGGAGATTGAGAACCACTAACAGGAAAGAATGTTTAATTACATCTAGGACCTTATCAGGAATAGATCCAGGTTTTGTGGGGCATAAAATGTATACAGTTGTTGGGTACATTTACAACAATTATTGGGTTCAATAATACAACTTAGAAGAACACAATTGCTCAGGCCCTTTCTAGCGCCTCGGAAGGGGCTCTGTGCAAGGTGGGGAGACCGGAAGCTTAAGCTTCGTTACCTTCCTGGTGATCTGTCTCGGGCCATTATGATGTTTGTACTTCTCCTATATTGCACAGACCGGAAAAAGGTGAGAATGAAATGAAGAAAACTGCACATGAACACAATGGTTTTCCAGAGAAGCAAAAATGGTTTCTATAAGGGGAAATTACAGAAAAGTTTTCTTTGGAGAGATACATCAAAGGGATTTATTCTCATATATTTTGACTTTCAAAAATGGTTCCACATCTCAAAGCCAGGATAGGGGTAGGGGTACTGTTTTATACAGATCATTGAATTTAGTTATAGATATATTGCATGCCTCCTATGTGTAACACAAAGGTCATGGTGAAAGCTGGCTTAATAATGGAGACATAGAACAACAGTGTTCCTTAGTACTCCAATACATCAGCATTTTAATATGTGAGTTATAAAAGGGATTATATATGAACGCTCTATGTTTTCAGCTCCTTGAATAATAAAGTAGCAAGTTAAAGGAGATAAATAAGAAAGTCACCTAATAAAACAGATGATTCTCGTGATTTCTCCAATTTGGGAGGTTGAAATGAGTGTAGTAGACAACTCTACCCTCTCACAAATGATCATTGGTAACCATGTCAGAGTTAAAAATGGCCTGGAAAAAAGTGTACTTCGTCTCATGGGGTTCTCCTGATATTCTTGAAAAATTAGAGCAAAGGCACAAGAAAGAAAATTGAATTCTTAGGATCTTGCTTCTTCATTTTGTTTCCTTCTTTCTTTTTATACTTCTGACTGACTTTCATCCTTTTAGACACACATAGTTCTCCTCAATTAGTTCTAGTGTGTGAATGTTAATCCAAAATGCAATAGTTGGGTTTCCTCAACCTCTTTCTAGTTTCTGCCCCTGTTGAGAACCATGGGATTTATAGAGCTAAAGGGGTCTTTAGAAATAACCTACATCGTTATTTTCTGACGAGGTATGAATACACTGAAGCCAAGAGACGTTCCAAGGCCAAACAGCTACTTATAACAAATCTGAACTAGAACTAGATCTCCTGACTCATGATTAGTTCTTTTCTCTTTCTATTGCTGTCTCCATGACTTCCCCGCTTTTTATTTTTTAAATAGAATTACTATTCTGGGAGGAATTGGGGCTTTTAAACTGAAGCTCTTATAAGCTGAGATCATGGAGTCAGTGCCTTTTGAATTATTATTTCCTAGAGGGCTAGTTAAGTGCTGTATGAGAAGTTTGAAAGTTCCAAATATAATTTTGTTTTCCTGCATGGTTTAGAGATTTAAGACAAATAAAAACTTTACAGGAAGAATTATTCACACTTAATGAACTAGCACATAACCACTGCTCTTAAAAAAAACATCGATTGCCAGCCAAAACATTACTTAGCTGGCAAACAAGGGTATTGGCCAACTGAGTCTAATCATTAAAAAGAAAAAAAATCCAACTGCTTGTTTTCTTAACTATATAGAATATTCTCTTTTAAAATTTATTGTCTGAAAGAACACTATTGGTTCAAATATATTACATCTTTAGCTACTCTTAACAGTCTTGGCAATAAAAGAATTTACTTTATTAATATTAATATATGAACTAATGATCCCAGGAGCCCAACTTCCTCAGTAGCCATTAAAACGAAACAGCACTACTGTCCTGCTCTTTATTTATACTGGGGTTCCAAGGTCTCTTCTCTGAGGGCTTGTCTCATTCTGGCTCATTCAGGCTTTTCCACAGATAAAGGGGAAAGACACCATACTTTGTTTAGCTGTAAGTGTAGGATTTAAAAGCACAGATATATTTCCAATAGTTTGAGCTACTAAATTTGATGGCCACTGTAAATTTTAGAATGTGAAAACTGAAATGGGTACAAAACTATTTTTACAAAATTTTACATTTCCATATTGGTTTTATTTGTCACCAATTTCATTTTTCATACACTATTTAGAAAAACCATTTTCATCATGGCACTGGTTTGCTCTTTTAATTATAAAAACAGTGACTCCACACGTACCCATCATAAGCAGTGTGCTGCTTTGGGATGCAAAGTCCAGTATAGTACAAATAACAAGTTTTATTCCTTATTTGCAGATAGAGTACAGCCAGGGCCTCGCCATCTCTTAGATATGGAGTGAAAAGTTGGCAGGCACACCAAGGGTTTTTCTATTTATTATTTTATGACAAACCATGGCACTGAAAATGGTTTCTGAAAACCACTCTCTGTTTATTTTCATCAACAAACATGGGATCATGTGACAATGATACACCCAGTATGATCATCACATCAGGGTAATGGTCAAACACTGGGAACTTCCAAAGTCCATTCGGTTCTCAAACTGCCTTCATGAAACACAGTCCCCTACTTCTAGCATATTCACCCTTTCAGAGTTTAGCAGGAGCTCTTAAAGGAAGGGTCTAGGCTGGCACAAGCCACTGAAAGGGAAACAAACTGTGGGAGAGTCAGTTCCATTGCTATCTGAGGGTGCTAAAAGGCCTATTGCTCCTAAAATTCTTTTCCAGTGATCCGTTTTTGGTGATTCCATATCCTGTCTTTTCCTAGCCCTGAGCCTAAAATTCCCAAGCATTACTTTTTTTAGGCAAGACAATGAAAAATATATCCTATTCCAAAGACATGATGTTCAAGTAAAAAAGATAAGAGGGGAGCGGGAACATTTATCTGTCCATTTATCTGTTTTTGAAAGGTGCAAATGGCACCAGGGAATAAGATAGAGAAGGAAGTTAAATTGGGGATGGAGGAGCCTTGGTTGGCCTGCAGGCAAATGCTAGTGCTGGGCCTGAGAGAGAAGACTAGCCTGCATTCCATCAATGAGACTGAATAGGCAATGGTTAAATTAAACAGTAAGCTAAATCTAAAGAATGGCTTCTGCAATAAAGCCATTTCCTTTTCCAAAGGTTCTGGGTAACTGGTCATCCACTAAGCTGAGTGGCCTTCCCCAGGCTTGGCCTGACCAACACTAATGACATCAGTTTTAAGCAGGGTGTATAATGAGACCCGAACTGCTCTACGGCACCAGCCACAGCCACTTTTCACATCTCTCACCCTCTCAAGAGTCCATACTTCTGCAAAACTTTTCCTATCAATTCAAATCTTAACTTTCATAAGTTTTGGCCAAGAGATAACATAACACCCCTGAGAAAGATGCTATCAAATGAATAACATGACCATGTAAGATAAAGAACAAACCACTAGTCTCATTGGAAATCACATTTTGGATTTTTTTTTCCCCTCTCCCATATATCCTCTGAACTATTCCTTTCCACCAGTACTTAATTTGATTTTGCAAGATAAGGAAAAAAGAGAGAGCCAAACAATTCCATTTGAGTTTTGTGTAATCAGGGAATGGATTATTTTAATTTGGCCCAGTCTTTCTTTCCTTTCCGGACCCTAACAAGAGGCAATTCTGTCTCTATCCAGATCATGAATGATGTCCAGTTTGGTGAGCAAATATTGGGCTAGAGGCCCTCTGTTGAAAGTCCAGAATTTCAAAGGGCATAGGCAATAGTTTTTAATTCAATTAAGCAACACATCTCAAGTAACTACTATGGGCAAAGCACAGTCCCAGTTACTATAGGGGGAAAAATGACAAACAGTTGGCCTCTGAACTTGAAAAGCCTACAATTAAGCATTTTGCAGCCCTCTCCCTTAAAATAGCTTAATACCTATTTATCCCATAAAGAACCTGCAATTATCTTATTTTTAACTCAAAGATTTAGAGCCAAAGAGATAATTGGCATGAGGTTTTTAAGTGACGTACAGTGGATTTGGGCTCTGTGCCCTTCAGTCACACACAGAAGCGTATTTTGGCCCCAGGTACTGTAAATTTAAATTCTTGACTACTGGGGAAAATTTTTTAAAACTGTCTTCCCCCTACCTTTCAGGTACTATTAAATCGGTAGGATTTCCAGCATGAATTGCAGGTCTGGACTGGGAGCTAAAGAGAAGGTGAGAAAGCAGCTTCTGGAAATTAAATGGCCCATGGCAAAACTGTGGCAAACAATTTGTTTTAGGGCTCGTTCCATTATCGCCCCTTCCTAGTTCTGGGGCTCCCAGTCCCCACTTCCTTATCCCATTCTAGCTCTCAGTAAACTGCTGCAATCTGCCTTAAATTGTTAACCCTCTTTAGTCAACATCACTAAAGTTTTCCTTTTATTTCTGTCCCTTTAAAGGTACACAGTTTCTCTTCTGTAGTCAAATCAGCTATACAGAGGGCTTCATTTGCTTTTGTTTTGTTATGCCCCGATTTTTTTTTTCTTTTTCACTTAATGACTACATAGACTCAGCTTTACTATGACCTGTAGTCTGTAAATGTGTGCGGAAGACAGTCCTAGTTACTATAATTCAGGAAGAACAAAACAGCACAAAGAAAATTTCCTGACTGTGAATATATTGGGCTAGCAGAACAAGGTGGGAAATTCCTGCTGGGCTCAAAACTGATAAAAATAAATCACACCGTGGAATATGTCCCCAAGGTGAAACTTTTCTCGCGTACAGGTCAGCCTGGCTCACTGCTAGCCAATGGGGAAGACCAACTTCGGGGGGGTGGGGGGGGGAATGCCATGTTCAGAATGACTGAAGCGGTGGGCCAAAGGCCCGCCGTGGGGTCTTGGTTTTTCCACATGCTAACTGTGTGGTCTCAAGGCAAAATGTTTAACCCTCATTTTCCTCATCTTTACAAAGAGGGTAATAATAGGAGCCAAAGGATGGTTGTGTGTCTTGAACATATGAATGTGTAAGATTTTTTAAAATTGTAAAGAACTGGATACAGGTCAACTACTGATAAGGGATCAGTCAGAAAACTTATGGTCCTTCTTGGCATTTGGCTCTTTACACAGTAACATCCCACGGGAGTTTTCTTTTTCTTTTAGCTGATTCTACACTGTTTATCTAAAAAGAGGGAAAATAACTTATTGAGATAGTCATCAAAATACATTAAAGGGTAACGAAATGTTCCCCAGTAGGGATAAAGTTGCATCTATCTATCAAGTAGCTGCATTTCATTTGGAAATAAACGATAGCATACAAGGGCTCTCAAGGGCTTGGATGCTATCTTCTGATGTGCTCTGTGCATCTTACTAGGCTGCTGCAAACGTTACAAAGTCAGACCCTGCCTGTATAAACCAAGGAGCAGATGACCCACCTGCAAGCTGATGGCAGAATTGGGACTAGAATTCAAGTAGAGTTATATGTTGTTTTAATATGATTCCATGTAGCTTTCTCAGATTCCTATCAGAGAAGAATTCTGCTTCTTGGAAAACTTGATTCTATAACAATTCTGGGTTTTCTAAACAGTGATAGTGAACGAGCTTGAGATGTTTGAGAATTCACTGGAGTAGCCCAGGCAGCTCAGAGCCTCACAGAAGATAAAATGCATACGCATAATAAAAGGATAAAGCTTCCAGTTACCCAGAAATTATCACTAGAGCGCCATGAGGATAGAAAGGTAATATAATATCTGGAATGTATTTTTTTGTCCCAAGTGGAACTTCGTAAGAGGTAACTCTAGTAGTTCTCCCAAAAGGTAAAATAATGGGACTGAATACCTTTTCCAAACCTGGGTCAGGAAAGTAGGGCTGCATGAATCAATATACTTGTGACCAGTTACTTTGATGCCAAGAAAAGAGACAGATCCTGATGGGGGTTGTTAGGGTGAAGGAGCTTTAGTTCATTTGTTCAAATTAAGATGGCCTGTATATTTTTATACTATTCTCAAATAATTTATTAGGAAAACCTGAAGGACTTTTTCCCTTTTCAAAGTAACTTTTACTTAAAATAACTTTTACTTGTCCTATCTGAAAACATTTCCTTTCCTGTGATTCAGACTCAAGCCTGCAATATGTAACAGCCAACAGCTGAGCAGTAACCCTGCGTTATGTGTGTGTAACATGGTCAATCATTTCCTCAAAGGAAAAAACAACAACAACAACAATAACAACAACAACAACAATAAACCCAGCCACCCCAAACGAAGACAGTAGAAGAGAACTAACTGATTTATCTGTTGTCTTTCCTGTCAAGATGGCCCTCGCCTTTGCTTTGGTCAGCGGGAAGGACTTTATGTATGAGTCATACAAATGTTTTGCCAGGGCCCGGAGATCAGCAGACTCTGGGTTCAGCTGGTCGATATCACTGGAGATCTCTGCCAACAGCTTCTCCTTCTCAGCCTGTGGCATCCGCCCAAACCTGATGGCTATAGAGGAAGAGAAATGACAGGATGAATCATTGAAATACTGCTGTTCTGAATGCACACTGTTCTCCTGCAGCCCTAACGCCCAGAGATCAGAGCCATTCCTCCCCGCTACGGATCTCAAGTCCTGGTTTCTATCTACAACCATGCTCACATTGTTATTCCACGGCAATTGCACAGGCCGATAGTAAAAATTAAATTGCTCACTTCCTGAATTAAAAAAGTAAGGCATGATCTTGCCAGGAAGGTGAAAGAATCTAAGGGTTCAGCAAAGAAAGGAAACTAAATTTACTTTGAAATAATTGAGAGCCAGCTCCTACTCATCCCTCAAGACCCAACTCAAATGTCACCTTCTTTGTGAGAATTTCTCTGACACCTTCAAGCAAAATTTATTATTCTTTCCCCTGTATCCCAACAGCCCTTCATGCATACTCCAATGATAGCAGTTTCACTCTGGGACTTTATTTTACATGTCTATTTGTCCCCTTCTAGAACAACATCCTGGAGGCCAGGGACAATGTCTTACTCATCTTTGTATCCTTGCCATTTTAAATAAGGTCAGGCGCTAAAAGGATCAACACATTTCATGAATTAAAGGAAGGAATTGTGCAGAGTTCAAAGTTGTACAGACACAGACTTTGTTCTCAGGGAGTCTGTACAATCTGTTTTGCCCTGTTATAAAGAAATATGGACGGTGCTTTTGTTCATGTTATTAGGCCACAGAGTACTTTAATATTTAGTGGAGAAAAGCCATAATTATTCCCCTGACTCTCCAGGATTATCACTTAATGATGTTTGTCAGAAAGACAGTTTCCTTAACATTTGGTTTCCTGTGGGGTGAGGAAGTGTGAAAGAAGAAAACTAAAGAAAGGAAGGCAAAGAGGAACATTTAAGAGAGGTTTGTAAGGCTTACATTGGGGAAAAAAATCATCTGTTTGTAACTCTTACAACTCAAATATGTTTTTCTTCCTCCCTACCAATACTAACCGGAAAATACTATTATTTTTTTACTAGTTATCACACCTCATTCTGGGTGCTTACAATGCTGTTTAATTTAAAGCTTTACAATTTTCTTTTATTGATATATAATCGACATATAACAATATGTTCGTTTCAGGTGTATAACATAATGATTTGGTATTTGTATATATTGTGAAATGATCACAATAAGGCTAGTTAACATCTATCACCACATATAGTTACACATTTTTTTCTTGTGATGAGAACCTTTAAGATTTACTTCCTTAGCAACTTTCACACATCCAAGACAGTATTATTAACTATAGTCACCATGCTGTACATTACATCCCCAGGACTTATTTATCTTATAACTGGAAATTTGTACCTTTTGACCCCCTTCACCCATTTTGCCACCCCATCACCCTGCATCTGGTAATGACCAGTCTGTGTTCTTTGCATCTGTGAGTTAGGGTTTTTGGTGTTTTTTTTAAGATTCCACATATAATGAGATCACACGGTATATGTCTTTCTCTGTCTGACTTATTTCACTCAGCATAATGCCCTCAAAGTCCATCCATATTGTCACAAATGTCAAGATTTCCTTCTTTCCTGGCTAAGTAATATTCCGTTGTGTATAATTACCATGTTTTCTTTATCCATTCATCCAAATATGAACACTTGGGTTGTAGGTATATAATATATGCTTGATGAATTAAATATCCAAAATATCAAGTTTGACAACAAAAAATGAGACAATATGTCCATTGGGAAGTTTGGGAAAGTGATCATGAAAGAGAGCACCCAGTAAGAATTAGGGCATATTAAAAGTAGAAGAAATTTTGGAGTAAAACTTGGAGAAAATCAGAGTCATATACTGAAACAGAGGTAGTTAGAACCACCAACCATCTTCTGCTCTTTAACTTTAGTTGTTTACCAGAGCACACAATACTGTCTCCTCACTCAGTGAATAACTATTGAGTGTCTACTGTGTTCCAGATGCAGTTCTAGGCTCTGGTTACTTTTCACAGGTAATAAACTATAAATACACACAAAAGTTTACATACCTAGGAAAGCACTTTTCTCCTAATGGGTAATCCAAAAAGTTAATTTAAAATAAACAAACAGCTAAAGATAGTCACTTGTTACATTTACTAGTCCTGCTTTTCCATAACCTAAGAAAATGGCCAAAATCACTTTTAAACATAATTTTAGAATTAGGAGATATTAAAGCAAAAGCCTTTTGCTACACCTAAATAAAATGTGAAATTTATAAGTTGAAGTTCCCCAAAAGGCTAAATCTTAAGAACAAAATCTCTGTATTAGTCAATAATCATGCTGCAAATTAGATTCAATTAACTATCAGTGCAAGTAATATATAAGTGATTTTATCATTTTTACATACCAGAGGCCCAACAAAAGAGATGAAAAATACATCCCATTTGGTGGGATTAAATTTGCATAAAATATATGGAAATCTGAAGTGGTAGAAGAAATACAATTTTTTATTTGTATGCATTTTTAAGGGAGAAAAAGTTGATTTTATTTTGTTGCTTTTGACTCCCATTAATAATACCTACCAACCTCATGTGAGGTGATACAAGGCATAGAAAGTGTTTAGCCCAGTCTTGGCACATAGTAATGCTAAATAAATGCAGCTTTTATTACTTGTGGATGAAGAGGTCTAAGGCAACTATGGTTGCTGTGGGCTATCGGTAGACCAGGGTGTAGCCACAGCACACTGACCTAGATTCTTTCCCACAGGTAAAGAATAAGCCCTGAAAACCTAATCTCTCTATCTGTCCATATGTCCATCATCCATCCATCCATCCATCCATCCATCCATCCATCCAGCCATCCATCCATCCACATCTCTCTCTCTCTCTCTCTTTAACTTGTTTAGGGAATGGTGTTTTTTAGTGAAGTAATTCTTGAACCTGTTACCACCCATTGGGTGGAGAACGTGTGAACCAAGAAGATGGAGGAATTCTCTCTTTGGACTACTGTTTTTGAAAAGACTGAAGTTAAAGCTTAGCAATAGAAGATCAAAGTTCTAGAGACTGGTGACCAGAAATACAAAGGCTGAGCGTGCCCATACACAGGTATATTCTCGTAAATCTTCTACCACGGCTGATTAATCTTAAAAGACAAAGGGAAATGCTCCATGAGTCACTGAGGGAGAGCTTCTGGTTTCTCTGGGAGTCAATGGAATGACCACTGCAGTTGGGATAGTCAGGAAGCCTACTTTCTAAGTTTCAGCTCTGTGAAAAACAACCTAAGTGGCTTAACCTCTCAGGTCTTCAATTGCTTTATCTATAGAATGAGGGGTTTGGAAAAGACCTCCAAAGATTCCTTCCTTTAGCTCTAAATTTAGCTATAACATTCTACAGCCCTTGATGACACAGAGTACTGGGGAACCTCTCTCTTTTTAAAGCAGTATTTGTCTAGTCTTTGAAGCCCTGAAAAAAAAAAAAGACACATTCTTTCTGTCCTACAGATTTAGCACATGTCACATAGAGCAACTTCCAGAATACTGTCATTCAGTGTCATATTTGGGATAATTAATCACCTACAGAGAATTCATGTAGTTTTAAAAAACTGTCAATATCAGAATCACTACACACCCTCCAGGAAGGATAGGTTTGGTAGAGACTCATTCATTTCTGGTGAAAGTGTGTCGGCATACCGTTATGTAATACATTTTTCCTGAACTGAATGCAGTTCACTACTAGCATATGACAGATTCAGCATTGTGTCTTTAGTACTGATTTTACTGAACACACAAACTCCAAGCACATGGAGTATTTAGATATCCCACTCTTTGGATCTGGGAATAGCACTTAGAAACAATGTTTCTTAAAGACAATTAATGACATGTTTTAAAAACATGTATCTAATTGTTGAAGCATCAGTGACAAACACTACTTCAGTACAAAGATAAATTAAAGCAGATTTTCAAAGTAGTAAATCAAAAGAAAATAGAAAAATTAAATAAGTTGAGTATTACTGAAAATATTTTTGTCTTTCAACATCTAAAGGGTGCTATCATACCAGGCTTTTGACAACTTGTAAAGTTGTCTCATGGTCAGTTTCCCCACTTTTAACATTTTTTTCTTTGCAAAAGTCTTATCATAGAAATAAGACTTATATAACATTATTGCTTTTCATATGGTTGTTGCCAATAAGTTATGTTTTCCACCTCTCTTTCTTGATAAAAACAAACTGCACATTTTGAGGTTTTGCAGAATTTGGCAATCTAACAACTCTCATTTTCTAGCTTCTCTAAAGTAAACCAGGAGCAACCTGAATATTAAATCTTTTTTATGTAGGTGTAACATTTTTTCAAACGATTTGTAGAGGACATTTAAACATTTGCCTAGGTTTCTTTTCAAAGTAGAGAAACGCCACTGCCTCATGTTCTGACTCAATCTCTCATTCTCTGAAGTCTTACTTGACATTATTTAATTCATTCATTGAGACACTGTGTTAGACAGACGATACGGGTGGTGGGGCCAGGATGAAAAGGACGTGTGTAGTAGGGGAGACCCTAAACATACACATATTATTCTTCCTCTCATGCACCTCTCTTTACTCACTCCTTTTCCACCTAAGCAGGTGTTTAAGGTTCTGACCCTACTATTACCTCCCTTTTATGCTATCTTTTGCCCACTGAACTTATTGAAAGAGTGGTTGGTCTTCCCTCTCCGTCGGCGTTTGTCACTTACTATTTACTTCCCAACCAACTGCATCTGTCACCTCATTTACATTTACCAAAACGTTGCTCTTAAAAGTTCCTAATGCTTTTCTCCCAGCCAGATCTAGGGGCCTCTTCTAAGTACTTCTTCTACTTGAGCTCGCCAGCATTCTACCGACCTTGACTCATGTTGACCTCCTCCACATTCTTATTTTAAAAATTTCTCAAGCTGGTTTCTGCTTTTCTGGTTCTCCTACCTTTCTGCCTGCTACTTTCCGGACCTCTTTGATGGCCCCTTGCCCTTCACTTATATTGTTTTTCCTAGTTTGACTTTCTCTCTAACTCACAAAATATATATGTAAATGACTCCTGCCTACTCTTTCCTGGATCTGGATCCTTATTTTTCACCCTTCTTATATTCCTTTATACATGGGTGCTGGATATCCCAAAAGCACCTCAAATACAACATAAAACTCAATTCTTTATTTTCCCCTCCAAGCTGTCTCTCCTTCCCGTTTTCCTTTCTTTGTTACTTCATTCTATCATCCAAACCAGACACTGAATAATCTTTGACAACCACTCTTCTCCTCAGACACCTGTATTCATTGGTCACTGCTTTGATATTTCTCTTACTTCCATTTCTCCCCCCCCCATCCCAATGTCTTAGTTAATAACATTGCACTGGTGTTCTGATGAATTTTCCTGATTTTCCCCTCTCTCATTTATCCTTTTTACTGTTGTCTGCAGGAGTTTGGTTTTTGGTAATAATGATCTATCTGGTCACTCCTTTGCGTTATAAGGCAAAATGCAGTGTCAAGGAAACGCATCATGCACAAAGAGGGAGAATGGGGAATTAGAACTCTCATGGAAGAGAAGACATTTGAACTGGGCCTTGAATGCCAGGTAGAATTGTGACAGGGAACCAAAGGACAAAAGCGCACAGGTATTCCATCTTAGGACATTTTCCAGAAACAGCAAAGTACACAGTTTGCCTGAAATATTTCAGGAAAAAGAGGGGCAGTGGGATCAGGTGGTGGAGGCAAGACTGTGGACTGTCATGAATGCAGGCAGGTGTGAGTGACAGCCACCATGTGTATTAAGACTTCTTACTTTGTTATATTTTCTGAAAGTTAACATTTGGGTAATTTCCCGTTATACCACAAAGATGACTAAAGAAAAAAAGAGTAACACGTTGAAGTTTAAATTTATTTGCCATCCAGGCTTTTCTTTTTTGTAATATACAGTACAGCTTCTGTTTACAAGGAAGGAGAGAATTACCTTTAAAACGCTGAGTGCCACAAGAAGTTGTGCAACCATTTTTCTGGATTTTTATGAAACCACTGAGAAATTATTTTTAAGCTGTTAGCTTTTGAAAAAAAATTATATAATAGGACATCTTAATCAGCAAAGCTAAGGTTTCACTAACTTTTGTATTTATGAAAAGCATAATTTTCAAATCTCAGTTGCACAGGGAAACCTAGCTGAATGGCTTATGAGTAACGTAAACCGATTCTTTTCTACTTTGGATTATTTTTTTAAATGCACAGCCTATGCTTATTATTTTATTACTTAGTTCATACATGAAAAGCAGCTCTGAATATGAAATACTGACTAGTCAAATTTTTAATGACTACATTACTAAAAATGAAGAGAACACAATAAAATATGATTGTCAGAAATTTTGTCAGCAGAACTTGAAAACAAAACTTATACTTCGAAAAGCTATAAAAATGTGTGAGTGCCCATTTAACTGAAGAAGTAACATTAATCTATGAGAGTATTTTCATCAAGATTCTGTAGATACCAGCTTCACTAATTCAAAATGTAAAACAAATAATAGTGGATGCAATGATCCTTTAGTAAGTTAATTCTGGGTAGCCCAGGAAGTTGGCTCTTTATTTCTGCTTTACTTGCATTTGGGGCCTTTCTCTAAAGGTGTGTGGACAGGGTATTGAACTGGCTGTGCTTGGGACAACTCAGGAAGGCTTTGGAGCAATCAGCGGGACTGACCCATGGTCTAGAAATGATGGATTATTAAATGACCAAAATCACTGCAATGTGTGTTTATCTTGATCATTACAGAAAAACAAGACATTTGCTCCCAAAGCACATCAGCCCAACACCTGGGTGCTTTTTCTACCCAATTCTGAAAATGGATATTTGAGAAACAACTAGAAGTTTCCAGCCAGAAGAATGCTGAATTCATGTCCTTCTACGATGTGTAGGCTGCACGTCACAATCAAAATATAAGTTCCATCTGATGATGGACTCATATACCATTAGCCAACCACACCATTTATACTTTCTTTAGCTCAGACTGTTTTTGTACTCTGGGGCTACATCATTATGTATGATCATCAAATGTATTGCCTTAAATTACTGAGTAACTGATCAGAACATATAGAAGACCTGATTCAGGCATATGAATTATATTTTTATGGCACCCAAACATATAGGTGGAAACTTTTAAATTTAGGCAACTGACAGATGCCAGGTGCCTAAATATTTGGGAAGACTGTGACATTGTCTATAAGATATGGAAGAGCTGGTTGAAAAGTGAAAAATTTGGTGAGGTAGGCTGTAATTTTTAAAGGTGAAAGGTCTTAGCAATCACTGATTTCAATGATTTCCCACCAATATTCCCCAGGGTTCTTAAGGCTCCTTGCCGGTTACTTCAAAAGCCTCCTTCAAAGCTGGGAGTGGGTCGCTAACGGGGAAGCTAAACACATTATGGACTCAACAGAGATCCAAGAGCAGAAATAAAAGCAACAGAGAACGGAGCAAATTTGCTTTAGGGGATGTTTTCTTTTTGTGCATACTGAAAACAAGGAGGTGCTGATTTGGGTATAACACTAGAAGCCTCTTTTGATAAGTTGGTGGGTTATTACACTTAGGTTCATTCATATAAAACATTAATAAAAAGGCATCCTATTGTATATGAATGGAAACCTCATTACTGTTGGCCTCATGTTGGCCAAAGCAATGAATTTTAAATAGTGACTAAGATCGCCTAGAAAACTTTGTATTTGGAAAATGTTACTTTCATCAGGGAAATAGGCAAAAACTAATCAACAAACTGATCTACAGTTGTATAGATCAAATGGATGTTTTCTGTTCTGTGCAGCAAACATATTCCCATAAAACCCTGAGAGAAGGGATTTTCTTAGTCATGTTTGCTATCCTGTAAGTGTTGAGCTGCATAAGTCTTTGATACCATGACATTTAATTCCTTTTTTTTTTGCCTTTGCAAGAAGAACTAACTGAACACTCCCTATCAAGACTGCTCTTCTCTCTAAATAGAATAAGCTAATAGTCATATGACGTCCAAAGCTGACCTTATTCAGCTCATGATAACTTTCTTTGACTTTCCTGGGAAAAGAAAATTATACCCTCAATACCACATAGGCTGGGCTTTAAATATTATTTGCCTATAAATAATAAGCCATAAAAGATATATTTTACATGAACATGTACAAGCAACAGGACATATATTTCACATCAATGTATGCAGTGGCAATTTTTTAAGGACAAAAACATAGCATTGAAAGCAGAATTGGCCTGCTTTACTAGGCAGTCTTAGAGATAATGACCTCAAAGTCAAAGATTTCTTCATAAAGATAAAATAAGTTTATTGCAACTTGATTGCATCACCTAAAATACAACCCTTGACTTGAAAACATGCCCTTATATTTTATGAGGTCAGAAATAAAAAGGAAATGGGTGAAATCAAACCAGCAAATTACTTTGTAATCAATGACTGCAGTTGTATACTGCTACACAGCACATGTAATTAATTGCTGAGGAAAGTTGGATTAAATTGCCTTCCTGTGTAGTATAGCTAATAGATCTATTTGTAATACTTTCTTGCCTTTAGAGGAAATGACCCATATTCATGATAAAAATATAATTTTGTCAACTATTTTTAAAGGGTAGGATATCAACCAGTTAGTGACTCCCAAATATCTTAATGATTTCCGCTGTGAAAACCAAACATCAGCAAGATGGAACCAAAATTTAATTTTTACAGATACTTTGGAGTCCTTACAGATGAAGACTGACTTTAAAGATTATCCTCTTGCTAGATCCATTTTGAGAGAGGTGAAGGCAAAAGAAAGAAAAAACAGGATGTACAATGAAATGAGACTTTGGATTTAATTTGATCACTTTGGCATTTTACATTTCTTGAGCCCATAATGAGTTTTTAAAGAACTGACTAATACTTAACAAATATAATAATTTCAAATTACATCAAAATTTGTTTTGTGAGCTAGTTAGCCAATCATAGCTAAATGGAAATCAAGAACTACTTCTTCAAACAGGTCTATCTTCCATGATTTTATTGAGTTAGTTCTATAATTCATGAAAACATTAGATATGGGGTTTAAAAAGTAGAAGTTTTGTGGAACGTTAAAATATTTGCTTTATCCACAAGTCTGTATGCTCCTTGAAGTCAAAGCTACTGCTATACCAAGAGAAAAAAACAGTACATAAATCTAAATTCTGATACGCCATTAAAAGTTCCATATCCAGAAATCTGCGGAATTTTCTTACATTTAAAGTAGGAAAATACTGATACACCTAAGTATAATTCTGTTTTTAATACTATTAAAGCAACATAAAAATTAATCACAATAATCACTACATTTGTTTTAAAATACTACGGTTATTTCCATCACTTATCAGATTTTCAAGTCTTTTTCTCCCATCATGGCAGATGTCCAACCACACAGATACTGCACCAATAGCTTAAAAATCTGAGAAATGCTTTATCAGCATGCAATATTCTAAAAGCTGGCATTCTGTGTTAAGACCGTGCACATTTTCAGCAATGGCCCTGGTGTCTACTGACCTGGCGGCCACAACGCGAGTTATAAAGTATGTGGTGCTAAGTGCTCACTTACCATTGTGAGACATCCCCACCGCAAGGCATTTCTGAAACCGGCAGTACTGACATTTATTTCTACTTTTTTTGTGGATCCGACAGTTAAGATCACACCTATCATAAATAAGCTTCAATCTGATTGTTCTCCGGAAGAAACCCTGCAAAGGGATAATGGAAAAAAAAAAGAAGCAAATTTTAAGACTTTGTGACATATGGAAGCAGCAACACATGGCTAAAGGCGGATTGGTCTGGGTATCGGAAAAGGTAGGTTCTTGATAGAGTTCTGTCACTGATGACTTAAGACAAGTCACTTAACCTCTCTGAACCTCAATTTTCTTTGCCGTAAAATAAAGACCCAGAGAGTTTCAGTGTCCTGTTTTAGCTCTTAGACAGTGACCGCATCCAACTAATATCATTCAATGTATTTTGGCTCCACATTTCAGCATGCTCTAAGAAGTGCTCTGGATTTAATGTAATGCGAATAAAACACCATGTAATCAGTTCAGTCTCTCTGCATAACCATTCCAACAGCATGCCCCAGCCCTTAAAATTGTGCTAAGCAGTTTGGCAAAGTTATAATCATTTCATTCTAAAATATGATCAGGGCCAATAAAAATCCACATGTGGATAACTTTTTGGAATTCTCTATGTTGCATAATTTCCTACAGAATTGGTTTCATTTATTTATGCAGTTGAAAGAGTGCCTCATAATCGTTGTAGCCCACAAACAAAAAGAAATAATAGAAAATAACACAAGAAATAATATATAAATCGTCAGAAAATCAACTGCTATCCCCAAATAGCAAATATGTCAATTTGAGGCTTAACTGAATGCTGTTACAGTTATATTTTTTGAAAAGACCTGAAAAAATTCTAATCTGAAGTGTTTTCTAGCTCCATTTCTTTTTGTTCAGAGCATTCGTATGGATTTCTATTGTGTTCCTTTTCACGAGAAACTCGGTTCTTAATTATTCCAAATTGATCTGGTCCTGTTTGGTACCAAAAGCATTGAACTAGTATCGATTCTGCCACTGACATGCATGTTTACTTTCTCCACATTTCTGTCTTTATCTCTAGACAAGTACATTCTACTGCTTGCTGGACATCTCCACTTGGAAATCTCACAGCCATCTCGAACCCAGCATGTCCAGCACTGAAGTCCTCATCTCACCCTGTAAACTTAACTTCATTGCAGCATTTCCCATGCTCCCGCTTTGTCAAGCCAAAATCCTTGAAGTCACTCTTGACTTCTCTCTTCCGTGGAAAGCTCTTCCTTTAAATATACACTTGCTTAGTTCCCTCATTGCTTCGAGTTTTGCTAACTCCTCAACTTCTCAGTGAGGCCAATCTACCCTATTGAACACTGTGGCCTGTCCCTCCCCCACCCCCCTCCAGGAACTCTTGATCTCCTTTACTCTGCTCTAGTTTTTCTTTTTCTTTTTTTTTTCTTTCCCAATAGCACTTATGACTTTCTAGCATACCATATAATTTACTTATTATATTTGTGTTTATTTTCTGCCCCTCTCCCACTGCCCAATTAAAATTTTGAGCTCTGTTGTGGCAGGGATGGTATCTTACACCCCCCGGATGTAGCCCAAACACCAACAATAGTGCTCCATTAAAAACTGTTGAATGAATACGAGATGCATGTCACTTAGCTTCCTTTCTGGGCCTCATCCTTTCCATCTGTAAAATGAGGAGGTACCTCTAGTTCTGATATTTTGTGACCCTAAACTATGGCTGAGATATTACAGGCCATTGGCATACTCCTTTCCTTTTATTTTTTGTTGTGGTCTTAGTAAATGTAGTATTAATTACAAACACGTAGAAAGTACATGTAATTGTAGAATATAATAATTATCATACATGAGCCGATTGTCCAACCCAAGATTTAAAATCGTGACCAGAATACTTATGCATTTTTCTTGTATCCAACTCCTGACCCCCATGTGACCTTGACAGAGTAATCATGCTCAATTTTTTGTTTATCATTTCCTTGACCTTTAAGAATATATAGTTTCATCACACAGTATGCAAAACTAAATAATCCATTTCTTAGTTATGTTTGTTTTGGGGCTTTATTAAATGGTATCATACTTCATGGTTTGTTTGTTTTTGTATTTTCCTTTTTAAAAATTTAATATTAGGTTTCTAAAATTTATCCACTTTGTGTGAAGCTAAGATTTATTCATTTTCATAATTACATAATATCCTATTGTAAGACTACACCAGTTTATTAACCTATTCTCATGTTGATGGATGTCTGAATGTTCCCAATTTTTTGCTATTATGAACAGTGCTTCTATAAATATTCTTGTAAATATTTTATGATGCATATGTACAAGAGCCCTAGGAGTGGAGTCTTGGATTATATATTTGAATGTGAAATTTTATAAGACAATATCAAATTGTTTTCCAAAGTGATTATTATCATTTTACACCCCCACCAGCAGTTTATGAAAGTTCCATTCTCCCCAACTTGTTAATGTTAGACTTCTTAAGTTTTGATAATGTAGTATGTATAAAATAGAATCTAAGTAGGATCTTAATTTGTACTTCCTTGATTTTTCATTTCCCAGTTTTCTAATGGATTGTCTTTCCCTTAAAATTGAATTTTAGATATTCTTTATATATTCTAGATGTTAATCTGCTGTCTGATATAGGTGTTACAAATATCTTTCCTTCCCATGGCTTACTATCCTTGAAATTTACTACTTCAGTCTTATTTTTGTGTGATTTTTGCCATTGTGATAATATATGTTTTATGATATTCTTTAACTGCTTTTCTGATCTTCACCTTTTAAAACTAATATTAGTGGCTGAAAATGCTGCTTAGATAGTTGACAATGAGGCAGGTCCCAGAGTGCTCAATTATTAGGCATGGTTGGAAAGGAAGGTTTTTGATGAGAGAATTACGTTATTTAAGTTTAACCTTATAATGCAAATTTTTGCTTTGACTCATATGATGTCTTTCAAAGTGCATCACATTCTTTTTGTGATTATTCAGGGTCTTTCAATGTTAAAGGATAATCATTCTGAATATCACATGTGTAGTATACGTACATAAAATCTTGAACTGAATATATACTTGTACAGTCTCTAGCACACTACTCAGAACTTACTTTTTTTAAAATACCAATTTCATGATAACCAACTGTTTTCTTGTCGTTTGGCTCTTTCGAGAAATTTAGCAAGGAGGATATAGGCTATTACTAAGTGTCTTTCTATAAAATCATTGATTCAAAGAATGAAGCAGGTTTCTCCAATGTTTCAAATTACTGATAAAGAAACACTCTTTAAAAACACTCTTATGTGTTATTTCAGGGTCCACAAAACAATGTGCAATTGCAAAAACTTACTCTTATGATTATCATGGAGTCTGTGAATTGGTGTGATGGAGAAGTATCAGTCACCATTTCAGAAAACTGTTTTGTGTATATATTTATTCAAAAGACTTCATATTTGCCTATGAGAAGGTGATGCCTGTTTTGGTTGGTTTTGCGTTTTAAAAAATTTTCTCCCATCTCTCCTTAATTGCTTTACTTTTAACAAAACTCCAGGTGCAATGAGACCTAAGAATGCTATTGTTAATATTACAATGAGATTAAAAGCCCTGTATTCAGTTTTCCTATGAAGTGTATGGCACTCAGAAGCTGAGTCAACGAGCTACCACCGGCAGGTGGGAATATACTAAAAACTGTTCCTGAGGTAGGTTCTTACACAGAAATACAAAAATAGGTTACACTCTATTGTATGGAGAGCGTATTTATGTAAATATCTTTAGGTAAGTCTATGGTTCTAAAATGATCTTTCACTAAAGATACAAAAACATAACAAAACCCATTAAAGAAAAAAATAAGTATCCAAATTTAAGAAGAAGACAGCTTTGCAAGCTCTAAGGTGTTTATATGTTTTAGTAGCTCAAAGGTTATATTTTACCTAAGTCTGTAATATTAATACACCCAAGAATATGCCATTATTTCATTTGAATTGAAACCCAAACTTTTTATTTGTTTTAGAATTTTGGCAAGAATTAAACCTATTCCACTGGCATTGTAAAATCGTTTAAGAAGGCCTACTAACAGCTCTCTTAAGCAATGTAACTATTCTTTTCAATCCATAAATCAGTCTGCAGATTTGTGGTAACTGTACTTTAATTATGGGTATATCCTATATTCTATTGTGATGGCAAACATTAAACTGTCAAAGTACCTTTCAGAAAATACAAACAGGTGAGCAAAACACATTTGCGAATTTCATTTTCCTGGCTTATCATTGAGTGCTGTATTATAGATAAGCTAAAGAGATATCTCTGATTACAGCCAGTCACTGCTCATTTAGCTGCATTCAGAGTATGGCAGCAATTTTGTTTTGTTCCAAAGTAGCAAAGAATGAGTATTCTTCAGCCTCAATGCCTTATAACAGTGGTTTTCAAACTTTTTGAACTCAGGACCCCTTATGCTCTTGAAAATTGAGTACTTCAAAGAGCTTTAATTTATGTGGGCTATATTTACTAATACTCATCAGACTAGAAATTAAAACTGAGACATTATTATGTGTTAGAACATACAGGCAAACATTCCAGTAGTCACCAGAGCTATATTATCATTCCATGTCATGTAGCTTCTGGAACATTCTACTTATATTCCTGACTGAATCACAGTGAAAATGGTAAATAACATAGTATTATTATGAAAATAGTTTCAATCTCATGGGTGCTTTGAAAGAGCAGACCCCTAGGGGTCTCCAGACCTCACTTTGAGAACTGCTAATTTATAGTTGGAGAAGTCAAATTATATTATTCCACTAACATTTTTTTTTGCGTTTTTTTAAATTTTTATTTTTATTATTATTAGTCCAGGTGTACAAAACAATGCAATAGTTATCATTTTCACCCCTTACAAAGTGACAACACCCCTCCCCCCATCCACTGTCCCCTCACCACCGATATCATACATATCTATTACAATTCCATTGACTCAATTCCCACACTATACTCCACATCTCATGACTATATATATATTAAATTATAGTTGACATATAATATTATTCAACGGCAGCTTCAGATGTACAGTGCAGCGGTCAGGCCTCTACACCATCTATGAAGTGGTCTCCCTAACAAGACATGAGTCCGTCTGGCCGCCTAAAAGATATTTAC